AAATAGCGCTCCAGGGACGGCGGAATGAGCGAAGCGATTAAATAAATACGCACAAATAAGAATATACCCCATATTTTCATATATTTTCTGGGTTTCTGTCTTCCCCCCTACTTCCCGTATTTTCCCATAGTTTCTGGGAGTCGACGATTCATTGTGTCTGTGTGTGTTTTTCCCCTCCTGAGTTGGGCCCTTCGCCAGGCGAGTGCACACAAGAGGGGTGCAGACACCTCGAGGTGCCCCCAGCAGAGGGCTCAACCTCGGGCATCCATGGTTCCTGGCTCGACCTGGGGAGGCTCCCTGCAATGTCTTTATATATATATATATATCTATAATATATATATATACATATATATATATATATATGTATATATATATACATACATATATATATACACACTAGAACCACGCGCGCGCACTTCGCGCGCTCGCGCTTAGGTTCTAGCGCAGACGCTGGCGACTGCAATGTCGAATGGTCTGAGCCTTCTCGGCCCGTCTTGGGGCCGTCCTGAGGGTCTCTTGGGTGGTCTTGGGGCGGTCTTGGGAGGCTCTTCGGCGCTCTTGGACCGTTGGAAGCTCGAAAACGCGAGAAGCCAAAAACATTAAAAAGACCATTGGACATATACGACTTTGGCCTCTTCGGGCCGTACCGTGATACCTATCAGACTTCTTGGGGTCTCTTGGAGGCCACCTGGGGGCCTCGAGAGCCGTCGGAAGGCTGACTTGGGCTGCTCGGGAGCGTCTTGGGCCATCCTTTCGCATTCCCTCCTGGAGCGCTGTGGAGGATGCCCGAAAAGGCTGGGGGAGCGGTGACGGGAGCGTCCCCGAGATGTGGCCATATCTTTTCAGCGCGTTCCGGGAGCATCTTCCTGGAACCCGCTCGTGGCAGGGCGCCCACCCACGTCCGAGGACGTTGGCATGGGAAACCGCAGCGCGTGATCATTCCAGGCGTTCCAGCGGACTCCAGGAAGACTGCATGTCTTATGAGGATGGCTGCCGCCTCTTGCCCCGAGCATCCCAAACTGCCTGAACGGTTCCCACTCGCCTTCCCCAAACCCAGCGCTTGCCCAAGCGCGTTCCACACGGTCTTCGCCGGAACGCGCTGGAATGATCACGCGCTGCGGTTTCCCATGCCAACGTCCTCGGACGTGGGCGCCCTGCCACGAGCGAGTTCCGGGAAGATGCTCCCGGAACGCGCTGAAAAAATTTGGCCACATCTCGGGAACGCTCCCGGCACCGCTCCCCCAGTCTTTCCGGACAGCCTCCACAGCGCTCCAGGAGGGTCCAAGACGCCCCCCAGGAGCCCCCAAAATGCGAAAGGATGGCCCAAGACGCTCCCGAGCAGCCCAAGGCAGCCTTCCGACGGCTCTCGAGGCTCCCAGGTGGCCTCCAAGAGACCCCAAGAAGTCTGATAGGTATCACGGTGCGGCCCGAAGAGGCCAAAGTCGTATACCGTATATGGTCAATGGACATTTGGAATGTTTTTGGCTTCTCGCGTTTTCGAGCTTCCAACGGTCCAAGAGCGCCGAAGAGCCTCCCAAGACCGCCCCAAGACCACCCAAGAGACCCTCAGGACGGCCTCAAGACGGGCCAAGAAGGCTCCAAGACTGCCGAAGAGGCGCCCAGCCAGCACAGCCCCAGACCACCCCAGAACAGGCCCAAGATGGGCCCAAGAGCGGGAGCAAGAGGCTTCCAGAGACCTCCGAGAGGCCTTAGGGACCCCCCAGAGGCCCCCAACACGCCCCCCATCCTTGAGAGGCCCCAAAGAGACCCCGACGAGGCTCCAAGAACAGCCCAAGAGAGCTGCGAGAGCCGTCCCGAGAGAGCCCAAAGAGGGTACAATCGTTGATTTCCCATGTTTTTTCCTATGTGTTTCGCCTTCTCACGTTTTCCCGCTTCCAGCCCTCAAAGATCGAGGATTTGGGAAAAAAAGAAAGGGAATTCCAAGAAATCTTTTTTCATCAAAGTGGAACTCCTACTCGGGGGTCCTACATATCCCCTGACATCTGGCCTGTACCGCGCCTCCGGGCTTCTTAACGTTTTCGCGGAGTCTCCGAAGGCCCCAAGGAATCCGGGAATTGTGGATTTGGGTTAGATGCTCATCCATTCAGGACTCAGGACAGTATGCCCGGGCCCGGGCATACTGTTCAAACCATCCTGAGCGCGCGCTCCGGTTCTAGCCCAGGCCGGGGGGGCGCTGGACGATCTTGGACAACGCTATCAAGCACAGGCGCGCGACGGCATCTGAGGAGCTTCTGGGGTGTTCCGCATGCTTCGTCAACTGGCTGTTGGAGGCACCTCTTGGGTGCTTCTTCGGGGGGCGTCTGAGGGTCCCTTGGGGGCCTCGGTTCTGCAATCTGAAGCCATCATTGGCCGTCTTGGCTGCGTGGAGGCCCGACTTGAGGCCACCTGCGGCCAAAATCAGGCAATCCGGAAGCCTCCCGGGGGCCTCCTGGAAGCAGTTTTGACGCATCGAGGGCACTCTTGGGCTATTTTAAAGCCTCTTGGACGTCTCCAAGGGGCCTTTTAGGCCCTCGGGAAGCTTTTGGGGTCCTCGTCGGACCACTTGGGGGCCTCTTGCGGCCTCCTGTGGGCCTTTTGGGGGGAACGCTCTGCTGCTGGGTCGCGTTCCCCTTCTTGGGCCTCTCTTGGGGCTCTTGGGGCCCTCTCGGGCCGTCTTGGGCGCCTCAAGCACCGTCTTGGGGCCCTCGCGGGCAGTCTTGGGGCCCTCTGGAGGCCTCTTCCTCTATATGGGAGCGGAATTGGAAGCCTCTTGGGCCGTCTTGGAGCATCGGGATGCCAAAAGGCCGAACAAAAATAAAACCCGTCAAAGCCCAATCGTAAAACAATGAGTTGTGCCTCTTGGGGCCACCTTGGGCGATCTCTTGGAACCTCGTCGGCCCGCTTGGGAGCTTCTTGGGGGCCTCTTGGATCCGATTGGGGGCCTCTTGGGACTTCCCGAAAACCTCTCGGGGTAGAAAGCTCGGATTCTCGGTTCGTGTTTCCCTTCTTGGGCCTCTCTTGGGGCCGTCTTGGGGCCCTCTCGGGCCGTCTTGGGCGCCTCAGGCACCGCCTTGGGGCCCTCGTGGGCCGCCCAGGGCCCTCTTGGAAGCCTCTTCGGCTATCTTGGAGCTGTCTTGGAGGCCTCTTCCTCCTCCTCGTCCCCCTCCTTCTCCTCCCACTCCAGCTCTCTCTACTCCTGATCTTCCTCCTCCTCCTGCAGCGTGTTCCGGAAGGCTCCCGCCGGAACATGCTGTGCTCAAGTGCTGTCACTGCTCCCGCCACCGTGCCCTGGGAAGTGGGGCAGAGACCTCATGGGTGTTGGTTTGGATCTCGTGGTTGGCCTGTCGGGGACGTCGTGAAGGCAGTTTCGCAGCTTCTCGGTAGCCGCTTTGGGACCGTTGTGGGGCCTCCTCGGGGCTGTTTTGTGGCCTCTTTAGGCCTCGTTTGGGCCTGCTGGGTGCCTCTTGGGGGCCTCCTGGGGCCTCCTGGGGCCTCTTGGGGGCTCCTTGGGGCCTCCTGGGGCACTCTTCAAACGGGAGGGTCGAATTTTGGAGTCGTGGTCCCCCTCTTGGGCGCATCTTGTGGCCGTCTTGGGGCTCTGTTGGGCTGTCTTGGGAGAATCTGGGGCCGTCTTGGGGCCCTCTTGGGCCGTCTTGGGGCGCTCTTGGGGGCCTACTGAGCCGTCTTGGAGCGTCGGACAGCCGAAAAGGCTGGAAGGCCAAAATCGTTCGGAAACTTTCGTAAAATTGACGATTCCGGCCTCTTGAAGCGCTCTAGAGAGGCGTCTTGAAGCGTCGTGGAGTGCATTGGAGGGCCTCTCGGGCCGTCTTGGGCCCATCTTGGGCGTCCTGGAGCGGTCTTTCGGCGACTCGGGGCCCGCTTGGGCCGTCTTGGGAGCCTCTGGAGGCCCTCCTGGACTATTTTGGACCTCCCCGGCTGCCCCGTCCTCCCATGGGGGGTCGGAGGCGGCGGCCTCCGAGGCCCAGGACGCGGAAACTTAATAAAAGCACAAGGAAAATGAGCCCCGGTCCCCCCATGGAGGGTCGGGGCAGCTGTTTTCGGGCACCGGGCCTGCTCCCCGGGATATATATATATATGTAATTATATATATATATACATATATATATATATATATGTATATATATACATATACATATATGTGTGTATATGTGTATATATAGCATGTTCTCCCACCCTCCTCCTTCACCTCTCCACTCCCTCACCCCCGCCCCTTCGTCACATCTCCTTGGACACACACACACACACACACACGCCCATCTCCCAGCCCGCTCCCTGCTCCCTGCACCTCCCTCTCCCCCCCTGCTCCCTGCCCCCGCCGGCCGTCCCTCGTCCCTCGCCACTCCTCCCCCGTCTCTCCTCCTCTGCCCCCTGCCCTCCATGCTGCCTCCTCCGTCCTCCATCCTACATCCTCCCCCTTCGGTGCCAACTCATGGGAGCCCCCCACACTATCTTGTCGGCTCTTGCGAGCCGACGCTAGTCGGTACTACATCGACGCCAAACCGACGCTCATCGGCGCCATCTCATCGACTCCGAGACGCTGCTCAAAGCCAATCGACGCTAAAGACTGAAGAAAGAGAATATACCAGGACACCCTTATGTTGCATCTTCGGGGGACCTTGTCTGTCCAGGCGCGGCCCTATCCGCGTCGAATCCGTGCCGAAACCATGTCGGGCTCGTCGGATCCGTGTCGAATCCGTGTCGAATCCGCGGCAAATCCACGCCAAATCCGCGTCGAATCCGCATCGAGCACGCGCCGGGCGCAAGAAAAGACACATTTTTGGGGGAAAAGCGAGGTCCCCCAGAGATGCAACGTAAGACATCGGAGGGCACCAACTATACACCAACACCGATCCTGGCCAGGATCGGTGTTGGTGTATAGTTGGTGCCTTCCTAAGACACCCCCCTGTCGCCAGTTCGCTTCCGGCACTCCCCGCAGTGGCGGCTCAGGCCTCAGGATGGGGGTCCTCTGAGAAGGCAACCGCCGTGATCGCCCTCGCTGGCGCGCCGCAGGCGGACCAGCTCGGCCATGTCCACCTCCTCCACCTCGGCTGGGAAGACAGTGGCATACACCCTGCGAAATGCTTAAGAAATCATGGGTTAAGAAATTCATAGTCTCAGAACGTGAATGAAAACCCAGAACTTCTATTCAAATCTTAGGATTTACATTGAAACATTAAGAATAAACGAGACTCTGGCCGAAAACTTGGGTTTTCTTAAGCATCGCCTAAGGTGTACACGCGGACTGTGGTGGAGTAAAAGTAAAAAGTACACCAAACAGATTCAAACGTATTCAAAAAGTGCAGAAAGATCGTCCCGGGGCAATGTTCTGATCAGTTTTGAATATTCCTCCTGTAGGGAGACAGGGCCGACTTCAGCATAATGAAGGAATGCAACACCCGCAACCTCGCCACTGCAAAAAAAAGTCGCGAAGAGCCGCGACTGTCGCGACGAACCGCGACGACTTTCCCCAGGCAGCAAAACAAACTGAGAACTTGTAGAGATAGATCGGGCCCCCCAAAGAGAGACTTTCGAGAAAAATGAAAACATAGCTTCTCCTGTAGAGGGACAGGCCCGACCTAACACTACTTTCCCCAGTCAACAAAACGCCTGGAAACTTCTAGAGACAGCTCATCCCCAATCTGCTTTGGAGACGTAAAAAGCGAAAACAACACGTGTGTGTGTGTGTCGGCGGCACGCCCAGAGGGGGGCGGCGGCAGGCGCGGGCTGTCCCACAAGGCCGAGAGGGCCTCTCCGGCCTCCTGCAAAGCTGTTCGAGCCTTCTCCGAAGCACCCCGCCGCCTGCTCAGATCGGGGGCGCGCAAACATGGATCGACGATCCGTGGAGTTGGCGCGCGGTCGCCAACTCCATGGATCGGGGGAGGTGCCCTCCCCCAAATGCGGCGGGTGCCGCCTCATCCGGCGGCGGGATCCGCGATTTCCCATGGAGACGGGACCCGTCGCTGATTCACGCCCCATTGATCCATGTTTGCGATCGCCTGCTCAGAAGGCCTGTCCTCCCTCGGCGCGCCTTCGACACATCCCCATCCCCCTAGTTTTAGGTCGGGCCTGCCCCCCTACAAGGGGAGTTTGGACGAACAAATGAAAATGCTCAAAACAGATTCCAAAAATATTCAAAAATGGTAGAAAAACCGTCCCCAGGCTATTTTTGGACTAGGTTTGAATATTCCCCCTGTAGAGGGACAAGCCCGACCTAAACCCAGTTGGCAGTGGCACTGCCGTCGCCAGTCCCGCATTCGGACTTACCTCGAACGAAGGCTCGCCATCGCTCGGACGTCCGTTCCCCGTGCACTTGTCGACGTCATGAAAGCATGCTTGGATCGATGATCCAAGATGTTCCTCGATGGCCCTCGCCGAGAAAAACTGCACACATCCGAGCGATGCCAGGAAGAAAAACAAGGCTACCGTCGCCGGGAAGGACTGCCATTCCTGAAAGGGGGGCAGGAGCAACAGTAGCGCGCTGGCCCTCCAAGAGGACCAAGAACAGGCTGCACCCTACGCATGCTGACTCAGTGCACATGCGGAGTAACTCGCACGCGCACGTGCGTGTGCGAGTAACCTCAAATACGTTACAACTATGGACAACCAACTACATGCGTTCAGGAATATATCTGGATACGCTACTAGACAACGGACAACTGGCTGCAACAATATGGACGGCTCTACAGGAAGGGGTAGCTCCTGCAAAAGGCACCACACCCACCTACAAATGTCTACGCGCATCAATAAATGCGACAAATTGAACATCAGACAATTGTGTCAATTGCCGGGATGAATACGCAATGGGCGAATCCCCCACATGTGCGAAACAAATGTAACACTTGATTACAATCACCGATACAATTCCGCAAATACGACCATACACCAAATCAACCGCAACTGTTGCAATCAGGCAGGACACCCAGACACACGTGCCAATCAGCTCGAACGGAGTGGCGCACACACACATAAATACCACAATGCTGAATGTATCCGCACATGTAGGAGTTATCATTGAACGAGATCGATGAACGAGATCGGCCACCCATGAGACACATGTGCGAAATTCGCAAACTGTGTGCTAAGTTTGTGCTCCCAGCCGCAAGCGTGACGTGACTTGTAAAATGACAAAGTAGCGAATTCGGCAATTTGCCAAATTCGGCACCGCTGGCGAAGTATAGCTGCAAATATCTGAACATGTCGCGATAAAAACAACGTATGCAATTCATACAAATTGTCCACACATGTCACACATTTCTGGACATGGTGAGTGGTCACGCATAGTCCAACCAACTGTTCACGTGGCAAACAACTACAATGAGATACAACCGTGACAACAGGCCACGATTCGCCACAAACGCTGCAATCAGCTCCAAACGCTAAGCATGTTGGCCTTTGGCGGCAAGTCTCAACACACGCAACTAATCGCTGTTTGCTGATGGGGCAATGAAATATGAAACCCCCAGGACAACAACAAAAAGGAAGTAAACAAAACTCGCCACGCGGCCTGGCTGGGGCGCATTGAGGTGTTGAGTCTGGGTCTCTGTTGCGGGTTTGCTGTGTTGAGTGTTCGTGGCGTTCGTTTCGTGGGCGCATCTTTCCTTGGAGGGTGCAGGCCATAAAGTCACAAGGCGGACGTCACCAGGAAGAACATACGAGGGGACAAGCAGGTAGACATACGCCACGTGTCACAGAGGACAAGCTGCGGCGCTCAACATGCGACACACCTAAGGGGGCCACAGGCCAACGAAGCCAAAGTGCAACAACTATGTCGCTGTTCAAGGACTCTTGCCCAGGAACTCGAAGCCACACCAGTACCCAGAGCCGCCAGACAAGGTGCGTCCCCAAAAACGTCATTCCGAACATTCTCCTCTTTCTGATCGTCTTAGCGTCGACCACTCCGACTTCTCCGTTCTCGCGCTCCTTTCTACCCTCCCCCTCGCTCCGCTGTCCTCCCTCCTCACTTTCATCCTGTGGCTGCATTTTCTCTTCCGATCCTATCCTGCCTCTTCCAAACCCGCCCTGTCCCATCCTCCGCCCCAGCCACATCCTCCTCCTCCTCCCCCTTCTGGTGCGCCTCCTTCCTCCACCTCCTTCCTACACCAACTTCCTCCTCCCGCCGACTTCCCTCCTGCTACAGCGTGCCACCTCCCCCGTCATGCTCATTCATCCTACCTCATATTTCCTCGTTCACTTCTCGTTTCTCTTCCTCCTTCTGGGCCTTGTTACTGCAGATCCTACGTTCTCCTGCTGCTGTTGCTGCTGTTGCTCCTCATCCTCCTCATCATTACCATCATCATCATCATCATCATCATCATCATCATCATCATCATCATCATCATCATCATCATCATCATCATCATCATCATCATCATCATCGAGATCACCATCATCATCACCATCACCGTCATCATCAATATCAGTATCAGTATCAGTATAAGTATCAGTATCATCATCATCATCATCATCAGCATCATCATCACCATCATCATCATCATCATCATCAGCATCATCATCAGCATCATCATCATGCTCTTCCCTCCCGAATGTATGGGATCCCCTCCCCCTCCTCCAATTTGGCTTCGCCCTTCTCTCCTCTGCCATCCTTCCTCGCCCTCGTACCTCCCTCTCTGTCTTCGATGCTTCGCCCCCCCAATCCGTCTCCCTCCTACTGGATCCAGCCCCGTCCCTCGTCCTCGTCTCCACTGTCCCCCCGCTCTTCCTCGCCCTCCTCCACCGCCTCCAGCCTTCCTCTCCTCATCCATGTTTTCCAACATGTCCTTGGCCTTGTCTTCTCCCGCGGTATTTTCAATAGCCCTGTTACGTGCCTTCTCCATCCTCATGCTTCCCCCCTTTCCTCTTCCTCCTCCGCCTCCTCCTCCTCCTGCTCCGCCTTCATGTTCTCACCGACGTGCTCGTGCATGCCCCCTCCATGTCACTGGCCCATGCCTTGGTCCTCCTCACCCCTCCTCCTCCTTGTCCTCCCACATGCCCCCTCCATGGCACTGGCCCATGCTCCTCACTCCCCTCCCTTCCTCCTCCTCCTCCTCCTCCTCCTCCTCCCTCCTCCTCCTCCTCCTCCTCCTCCTTCTCCTCCTCCTCCCTTAACTCCCCGCCCCCCCACCCCCCACCCCCGACACCCCCCCGTTTCCTCCTCCTCCTCCTCCTCCTCCTCCGTGACCTCGGCGGCCTGAGGCGCGCCTGGTCATTCCATGAGCAATTGGCGCGCCACGACTGACAGAAATGAAAATCAGCTGGAGTCCTTCGACTGGGATCGCCCTCCCACGGGCGGCAAGAGAGGCCCCTCGTCCTCCTCGCGCCTGAGCGCCTCTCTGACCTCGAAAAACTCCTCCTCCTCCTCCTCCTCCTCCTCCTCCTCCTCCTCCTCACTCAACTCCTCCTCCTCCTGCTCCTCCTCCTCCTCCTCCTCCTCCACCTTCTCCTCCTCCTCCTCCTCCTCCCCCTCCTCCCTCCCCCTCCCTCTCCTCCTCGGCAACCACCCGGGGCGCCGGGCCTCCGCGCAGCCTCGGGGCGCCGCCGTGGCGGGCGGGCCGCCCGGAGGGCCCGCCCGCGCGCGCCGCGCCTCGGGCCCAGCGGAGCCCGCCCCTCACCAGCCTGGAACATATCCCTATCCCCATGCTGGGCATCGCCACAGCACGATGCCAATATCAGGGATTCCCTCAGTTTTTGAGGGCGCATCCCTAAGATTGCCATCGCCTTTCGGCGTGTCAATCTTAGGGATAGGGAGTAGTTCGAGGCTGGTGAGCCCCCCCCCCCCCCTCCAGGGCTCGCTCGACCTACACTGGGGGCTCGGCCAGAAGAAACCTCCGCAAGAAACCCAGGGCACCCTGGCAAAATCCACCCCCTCATCCTCGGTCCTTATCATTTCCCCGATGTCTTACAAGCTCCACGCTCCTTCCCATGTTCCTCGATCTGTATCCTCCTTATGCTCCTCCTCCTCCTTCTCCTCCTGGGACGGGCGACAAGGAGGGCAGGGCGGAGGAAAGACCACGAGGGTAAGGAGAATCACCCCCCCTCCAGGGCTCGCTCGACCTACAATGGGGGCTCGTTCAGAAGAAACCTTCGCAAGAAACCCAACCCTGAAATCCGCGATTTGTTCCGTGAAAACCCAAATCTGTCGATCGATAATCGTCAAGATCTTATTGGGGGCACATCGAAATCCAAGAAACCCGGGGCACCCTGGCAGATTCCAACTGGTTTCTTGGCACACGCCCCCTCTGTAAGCAGTGCTGTTCGTTGTCGTGTCCGGCATGCTCTCATCGTTGTGCTCGATGTTGTCTTCGTTCTGAGTGTCATGTTCCTTTCGTCTTTGTTCCCTCGGTGTGGTCCTCGGTCCGCCACTGCTGCAAAACATGACATCCGAACGAGAACGGCCCGCGAGATCGCCCACAAAAGACAAACCGTTGAGGTCGAGCCCTGGCCCCTCCCCAAACCTTCCTTCCCCGCTCCGCCCAGGGGAGGGGGGGGGCGACAGGGCGCGGCGGGCTCGGGGGAGGGGGCGGGAGCGTATCGGCGGCGAGCGAGGGGGGAAAGCGAAGATGAAACAGCCCTCCTCGGAAGGCGGCGATGACTTCTCAGAAGTCCTCGCGCCCACTGAAAAAGCTTTCTGCGCCTTCGGGGCAAGCACAGAAGCCGTGTCAAAAAAGGCTTGGGGGCTTCCGAGCCTTTCGGGAAAGGCCCGCCCCTTCTTGATGGTCGTGTTTTCCACCACCACCACCATAAGTTGGAGGGGGGAGGAGGAGGAGGACGAGGAGAAGGAGGACGAAGAAGAGGAGGAGGAGGACCCCCTCCCCCTCCAACTTATGGTGGTGGTGGTGGAAAACAGGCCAATCACTTCTCACTCCCCCTCCCTTCCCCGCTCCGCCTCCGGAGGAACCACTACTGGGAGGTCTTCGTCGGCAGGACTCGGGAGAATGGAGCCCCATTGGGGGGCTGATACACCCTGCGAAATGCTTAAGAAATCATGGGTTAAGAAATTCATGGTCTCAGAACTTGCATAAAAACCCAGAATTTCTGTCAAAATATTAGGATTCACATTGAAGCGTTAAGAATAATCGAGACTCTGGCCGAAAACTTAGGTTTTCTTAAGCATCGCTTAAGGTGTACGTTGGATTGGGAGGCGGATTCAGCGGGATGAAACCAGATTGAGCGGAATTGAGCGGAATTGAGCCAGATTTCGGACCTGGGCAAAGTCAGAACTTGGCCCCCCAGGAGTTGCATCTGGAGTCACGTCGGCACGGCAGCGGCCATACGTCATCGCAGACAGATCGGCGATGTGCCCCCGATAGCGGGACGGCACGCTCCTGGGCAGGTGGGCGGGGCTATCGGGTTCCCATCGCGGCGATACACGGGCGACTGGAGGTCGACGTGTTCTCCCCTGGGCCTATACCCCGCTATCGGTGCCCCGCCCGCCACGCCGTAGCGGTACTCCCTTTCCCCGATCTTCGCGGGCCCCGGAAACGGCAGGGCCGTGTTTCCACCGTCTCCGAAAAAGATGCCCCCTGAAAATGGAAGCGGCAAAAAAAACGGCGACCGGAAACGGCTACAAAAACGGCTCCAGGATGGGAACCAGAGCGGGAACCCGTGAAAGAACGGCGACGGAACCACTAACAAAAACGGCGTCGGCACCGGCCAAAAAACGGCAGAACGGCAGAACACAATCGGTGACAAAAACGCCCCCTGCCGTTTCCAGGGCCCGATAAGACCTGGCGTGCACCTGCAGAAGCGCCCAGTGTGGCCTGGGCTATCCTTATGTCGGGCGTGTCCCCCTACAGGGGGGCTTTCGACGAGAAAGAAAGATACCCCTAAAAATGCACCAAAAAGGCAACAAACATACTAAAAAATTAATCCCCAGACTACTTTTTGATTATTTTGGGAGTATGTTTTATGTTTCGTGGAAATGAAGGGGCCCCAGGACACACAAACAAATACACACAAATAAAAATATTCCCCATATTTTCCCATATTTTCTGGGTTTCTGTCTTCCCCCCCACTTCCCATATCTTCCCATATTTTCTGGGGAATCGAGGATTAATTGTGTCTGTGTTTCTCTTCCTCCTGAGGAAAATCCCCCTGCGCTGCAGATCCGTCCCCTCCCGGTTCCCCTCCCTGCCGGGGCTCCCTGGCCCCAGGTCCAGCGTCGGGGGGTGACGGGAAAGGAGGAGAGGGGAGGAGGGACGGGGAAGGAGACGGGAGGAGGGGGAGGAGGAGGGGGAGGAGGAGGAGGAGGAGGAGGAGGAGGAGGAGGAGGAGGAGGGAGGATTGAGGAGGAGGAGAGGAGGAGGAGGAGGAGGAGGAGGAGGAGGAGGAGGAGGAGGAGGGAGGAGGAGGAGGAGGGAGGAGGAGGAGGAGGAGGAGGAGGAGGGAGGATTGAGGAGGGAGGGAGGTGAGGAGGAGGAGGTGAGAAGGGACGGGGAAGGAGGAGGGACGGGGAAGGAGGAGGAGGAGGATGGACGATTGAGGGAGAACTGAGGCGAGGGGACCGAGGAGGTAGCAGCAAGGAGGGGAAAGATATGACGGGCAAGGGAGGAGTGGAATCTGAGAAATCGCAGGAACAAGAATCGACCCCGCCATGATGACTATCTGACAGACCACCCCAATCCAACCCGAAGAGCAAATTTGGGCTTGGAAGGCGTACGGGCTCCACCTGTGTTTAAATCAATGCTCCCGGCTACCCCCTTACAGAGAATGGATTGCAACTTGGGCCTCCGGGTTGGATTGGGCGGTGATTTGGTGGGTACTTTGAGCAGGGACCGACCGTCCCAGCAGGCCTATAGGCCTACCACAACATGTTCCCAGAACCCCAAAGTGTTCGACAAACGCGAGCACTGTTCTCAGAACGTAACCCCGATGTGCTGAGAACATGTCGTGCAGACCACGCACAGCTTAACATAACATTCTTTGGTGGGCCGAAATAGAGGACGAACAAAAACTGTATAGACATAAACTTGTGGCACTACGCGCGGATTTCTTGGACCTGCGCTAGACCCCCCTCGATGGCGCGCGGAGCGAGCTAAGGGCGGGGCCGGAGGCGCCGCCGGGGTGGGCCAGCGTGGATCCAGGAAATCCGCGCGGAGCGCCAGACTAGTATATATGTATGGCGCCTTCTTCTCCTTGGAACAAAATATCAACATTGTTTGAAGCCTGCGTCTTGTAACATTCAGGCAAGCTTACTTGCCCAGCGTTCGCCCACTCCCCCCCTCGCCGCTCTTCAAACGAAACCCAGCGTGCGGGATCTCCTCACGTGCAGGTCGCTTGCGGCTTGCTTCAGGTCCAGACCCCCCCCTCCATGCACGCAGACTTGCTGGAGCCTTACAAACTAAACAAACACAGGCTCCTGGTGGGCCTATCCGCAGGCCCAAACGCTTCGCCACTGCCTGAGCAGCGAGCCAGCGCAGCGGCAGCTCGGGCCGCCGCGCCAGCTCAGACCCCCCCTCCATGCACGCACACTCTCTGGAGCCTTACAAACTAAACAAACACGGGCTCCTGGTGGGCCCATCCGCATGTCGGGTCGGGCGAAAGGGGGGGATAGCAAAGGGGGGGTTTGAGAATCAGCTCGCGTAGCTGATTTTCCCGGCGCCGGGAGGCGCCCATGCATCGAGGAATGGGCCCCTCGGTCGGGCCGAAACCAGCTGCATGCAGCAGATTTCGAACCCCCCCCTTTCCCAAACCCCCCCTTTCGCCCGATCCGAGCATGCCCAAACGCTTCGCCACTGCCTGAGCAGCGACCCGAGAGGCATCGGGCAGCGCAGCTGCAAGGCCGGCCGCCGCGCCAGCAGCGGGCCTCGCCCACCACGAGCTCCTGCAGCAGCTCGGGCGGGTGCTCCAGGAACCTCGGCTCGCGGGCGCCAGACGCGCTCGGTGGCAACTC